TGATATTTATTTTTATGTGCGTGTTTGTTCACGTGTATGAGATGATGATGATGATGATAATAATTATTATTATTGTTATACAAATTTTTAATTAGTTTACTTTTTTTACCGTACAATAGTATTTCTGTATATATTTCTGTATTTTTATTGCTCTGTCTAATTTTTATAATATAAAAGATTTGTATTAGAAAAAATAAACAGATAAAACAAAATAATAAAAAGTATAAAAAATAATAATAATTTAATGTAATAATATAATATATAATATAATAACAGTAATAATGAGTTCTGTATGCTTCATGAATTAATATCCTGTCATGGGTCTTAAAAGTGAAACGGTTTTTTTTTTTTTTTTTTCTGAAGTCAAAAATGTAAAATAAAAAACCTTTAATAATCATAATAATAAAAACGTAATACAACTCAAACAACTTGACTATATTAGAGTACATACAGTTTTAAAAGTATGACCGCAGGACATTAAACTTGTTAGCATTAGATTTATGAGGTAAAATGACTTGGAAATATTCGGTCGGTGTAGCACAAATCATGTAAAGCCAGTAATATGTGCAGAATATGAATATGCACAGAATATGTGCAAAGGCTGGTTACACCACTTACCTTGTGGTTATCAGCCGTCTCTACTAATCTGACTCTTATAACTTATTTTCCTTCAAGTTTATCCTGGTTCCCTTAGACTGTCATTGTTAATGCATTAAGCTATATGCAATTTATTTTACCCTGAGGAATGAGTGAAAATATTTTGTTTAATATGGAGGCACCACCCTGCTGTAAAGATTGATAATTCAGATTTTGCTTTCATGAACTCTTCAGTGAGACTTTTTTATTTCCAGATCTTTTCACACCTTTACTCGTTCGGTCTTTTGCGTGAAAAGGCGTCTTCACAGGAAATCTTAATAGCTCCTTTTTTTTCAAGAGGTTAAATTGAGCGGTGTTTTGCGTCCGCAGCGAAAGCCACGCGCCTGTCTGTGTCTTTTTTCCCTCCCGCTATCGCTCGTAGCATGTCAAACACTCATAATGGGCTGCCAGGAGCTGTTTCACACACTGTGTTAAATTTCACGCTTGAGAAGTCCTGCTCCCCTGAGTTTCCACCTCGCTCACGTTTAATCTAGAGAGAGAGAAGTGCTCGGGGACACGGCTCTCCCTCTGAGCAGGTGAATGGAGATGATGGAGGGATGCTGGATGAGTGCTGTTGTGATAGCAGAGACAAAAGAGGCCAATAACATTCGTTAACAGCATTGCCCCAGGACCTGTCCATCCTTGTTGTCCTTTCAGAGAGCGTGTGCCCTCACACACACACACACACACACATATTCACAGACACTCATCCTGTATACATGCCTTGATCAAATATGAATGCAGTACAAGTATGTGCACTCCTTTTTAATTTGCACTTCAGTAAATGTACAAATGGACTGCTAGTGTAACTCAAGTGTCTAATTCCTATGCGACTAATGTCTCAAAATAGGGCTGCAAGAGGTTTCCTGAACACTCAATCAATCTTCTGTCAACTTGAACTTCTGTCAATCAATCAGATAGTCGCGCCCCAACATAAAATATCTAAAAACAAATAAATTGTTATTCATCTATTGCACAAAAGCAACAAGAACAACTAATATAAAATGTAAAAAAAAAAGATTAACAGGGGCAAACATAGGCAAGGTTTATATTTATAACACGTGTTTGCAGCGTTGAGCAATGTAGCCAATCACAGACATATCTGTTGATTTCTGGAACGCAATCAGAGGCGTTTAAGTTAGAATCCACTCACCGCTCAAAACGCCAGAGTTTTTGTGCAGTGCTGAAATTTGCGTGATCACGAATCCTCTCACGAGTGTAAACATTATGAAAGATTCATTATGCATATATTCATTGTGTTATAACAGAGCTTTGTGAGATCGCGATGAACTGAGATGTCAGTTTTTTAGTGATTATAAAGGGAGTGCTCTTTGCTCATTCTGCCATTTTTATATAGTTTTCATTAATTTTTATTTCAGTTTTAGTTTTAGATATTTTAGTACAAGTTAAACTGTGTAATGTCTGCCCTGAGACCCTTAAGCATGCATATGCGTATCTGAGGGGTTTTTCTGTGTGACCTTGTAAGGTGGCATCTGATGGAGGATGCATGCATGCAGTGTGTGCAGTGTGATGCCTGTGGGGTGCTGAGTGCATGTGTTACTATATGAGTCTGATGTGTTGAATTTTGACCCTGTTTTTCCAGCGTGTGACGACGACTGCGCGGGACTCTTGATTCGTGACATGGATCGTCTGCTGCGTTTGATTGGCAGCGTCAATCTCACTCTGCCACTGCCCCTGCCGTATAAAGTGCTGTATCGATACGAGAACATGACGGAGGAGCTGAAGGTAAGCATGAGCAGCAGAGCTCTGATCATCAGTGTCCATTCACAGGGCCTCAAAACACCAAACCCATCCAAGTCTGGAAGATCTTTACTGTCAGTTTAATGCACTAATTCACAGGATGCATTATTGAATTCAGAGGTGATCCCGCTCAATCATAAATTCAATTGCAAAATGGATTGCTGCTGAATAGCACATCATGTTATTAAGTTACATTTTTTTAATCAATTGACAGTCCTATTTATTGAGAGTTTATTTACAAACATACTGTACACATGAAAACACAGCCCAAAAATGTCTGTAAAATGTTTTCCGGTACAACTTTAATTGTTTGCATACTCCACCTGAATAATGACACAGAGAAGCTGAAAAAGCACAGTCAGAACTGTGTCTTGAACACAGAAACTAAAGCAGTAATCATGTGCTGTACTTCATCTGTTTAAGCAACGGTAGGACGGCAGGTTCATTTGGAGAAGCTCTAATCACGTCAGACGGACTGATCTTCTGCTAATTAGCATCTATATTTGAGTTGTTTACAATATCGTTTTCCATTTATAGCTCGAATTATTCATTACATGACTCATAATTCAGTGATGTCAAATGAGGCCTGTGTCATCCTGGTTTCCATGGTGACACGTCTCTGTCCGTCAGTCATGTGTTGATGGTAATGCCGTGTCTTTGGTCGTGTGTTTGCAGCACATGCTGTCCCCTCAGAGAGCCCCGGAGAGACTGCTGCAGCTGGCCGACAGTAACCTGGGCAGTCTGGTCACTGAGATGGACGAACTGCTCAGCAGGGTGAGTCTCTCACATGGTAAACATCAGGCCTGAACCTGATCTAATCAGTCCTTACGGTATGGAGTGTGGAAGTCAAGAACAAAGAAGCTGCGTTGCAATCACTTGTTCACTAACCGTCTAAACCAGGGGTGCCCAAACTCGGTCCTGGAGGGCCGGTGTCCTGCAGAGTTTAGGTCCAACTTGCCTCAACACACCTGCTGGTAAGTTTCTAGTATGCCTATAAGAGCTTGATTAGCTGGTTCAGGTGTGTTTAATTGGGGTTGGAGCTAAGCTCTGCAGGACACCGGCCCTCCAGCATCGAGTTTTGGGCACCCCTGGTATAGGCCGATCTTAAGTTTATGGAGGACGCGATGTCTCTGATCACCACTAGGAAGCGCTGTAACTATCATGAGTGTCATCTGCTGAGTAGCCTAATTAAGCAAAAAATTAAGTACATTTAATTAGGCTAGGGTTCCATAAACACAATTATTATTTTAATTGATAGGCTTATCTGGAGCTAAACTCTGCAGGACACCGGCCCTCCAGGACCGAGTTTGGGCACCCCTGGTCTAAACCATCTAAATTCAGCATCAAATTTAGTATTAACTGAAAGACCACACATGCAAACATTTCCTGGTGGCCTTCGTTGAGTATAAATGTGTTGCTGTTGTTGTTGTTTTTTAATAGATATTGGTATTATTAGGAACTGAACTATGTGACCCTACATTAAGTTTTACTTATTTCACAGTAAAAAGGGCCATTTGGGGCACAGAGTCTCTTCTGCTCATCAGGGATGCATTGATCAAAAATACAGTAACTTCAGTAATATTGTGAAATATTATTTCAATTTAAAATAACTGTAATTTATTTCTGTGATGCGCAGCTGTATTTTCAGCATCATTACTCCAGTCTTCAGTGTCACATGATCTTCAGAAATCATTCTAATATGCTGATTTGCTGCTTGAGAAACATTTCTGATTATCATCAATGTTGAAAACAGTTGTGCTGCTTCATATTTTTGTGGAAACTGTACCATTCAAAAGTTTGGGGTATGTAAGATTAAAAAAGGGGAAAAATTAATAGGCTACTTTTTTTATTCGGATTAAATTGATCAACAGTGACAGTAAAGACTTGTCACCAAAAAAAAAATGCTATTTCTAACAAATACTGTTCTTTATCAAAGTATCTTGAAAAATAAAATGTATCTCAATTTCCAAAAAAAAATAAAAAATCAGCAGCAACTGTTTTCAACATTGATAACAATCAGAAATGAATCAAAAAGGATTTGAAAATCGGACAAAAAGACAAAGATGCAAGACTGTGTACTTAACAGCTTTAGTGAGGGAAAGAACTACAATCCCATGAATCATTGCAAATTATATAATTGTCTTAAAAACAATGGAGAAATTTATATATATATATATATATATATATATATATATATTTTGATAGCGTAATGAGACCGAATTGATTACATCACTGTGGGTGGAGCTAAAGAGATCTTTTGGTGCAATTTATGCACTGCAGTCCTCTGATTGGTGGAATTTTCTGTGCATCATCATGGGTAATGTAGTTCCCCTTCAGGAATAAAAATAACAATTCCACAAAAATATTCGCAGCACAGCTGTTTGTCAACATTGATAACAATCAGAAATATTTCTTGAGCAGCAAATCAGCATAGAGGTGTCAGATCTAATGTGTCTCGTTGTTTTTATCCTGAGGCTGCTCGGCTTCTTCACACGGCTGCAGAAGAGCATGTGAGGCTGATCTGAGACTGTTCCTTAAAATCTTTCATTGGGTTTTTCTCATGCAGGCAACTAAAGTGTCTGCTGATGGACAGCAGACAGCAGCAGATGCAGAGCGGAGCCGCAAAGGAGCCGAGGACCTGGAGCTTTACGTCAGGAACACACTGCTGGCTGCTGAAGGTACCAACAAATATCAAACTGAGGAGATGGATTTGACTGGTCCAGCTGAAATTATGATTTTAATTAGGTTTTCACGGGATCAGTATGAGATTAGCTGAGGTTTAGGTGATGGTTGGATGAGGCTGAGGTGAGGATGGGGCTTTGTGTGTGTGTGTGTGTGTGTGTGTGTGTGTGTGTGAGGCCCGATGCTCTGTAAATAAGTTTTTGTCTCATTGTGCATGTCTTTAAATGAGAAGCTGCTTTAGATAATGAAGGTTCAGCTAACACTATGTGATGCCTTAATTAAAAGAGACAAAATTCATTACTGGAAAAATAATCACTTAAACAGATACTCCACTCACTGACTGTGCGTGTAGTGGGAGTTGAATCCTTTAAGTCAAGTCAAGTCATATTTATTTGTATAGCGCTTTATCAGCACAACACAGATTGTTTCAAATCAGCTTCACGTTATTAAACAGAAAATTAAAATTAATAAATTATGAAACAAATTCAATTTCAGTTGCAAAGCAACTCTGCAGGAGACAAGTTTCAATATTCAGATCTATTTATTTCAATGTTGATTCAGTTCAGATCAATCATGAAACATTTTAATGACCAGATTCAGGGACTCATCATGATATGATTCTTGATGCATCTTGTTTATCAACAGCATTTGCCTTCTTGTGTCCATCTAGTCTGTATAAACATGCACTAGAAGGGCGTATTTGATTTGTCTTGTTGTTTTTTAGTGTCTCAAGCCTTGAGCGCAGCATGCTGTTTCAGATGAAAAGAAGTTAAAATTTTAAAAACATTTCTTGGGATCTTAATAAAAGCTACAAATTACAGCATCTATGCTCTGATCTGCCAATAAAAGTTGAACAAGAATCTATAATAGTGTCGTACCAAAGGCAGCTTCCATATATATTTCTGTTTTGGCTCGTAAACTTTTTTTGTGCATTTGAAAATGAGAATGCAATGAGAATGGGAAGAAAAAAAAACTACCATAAGTATTAGTATTGTTATGAATATTAGTATTAATATTTTATCAATATTAGTTTTAATATTTATTTTTATAATTTTATGAAATCATAATAATAATAAATCAAAAATATAAAAAAATAATAATACAAATTGTATTGAAATAATGCACATACAGTTTCATGGCTGGTAAAACAATATTTTTGACCAGTAAATATTCTCGAGTCGCAGGCCATTGACAGGTGTGGCAAAATGTTAGATTTATGTCCTGTGCGTATGTTTGTTGGTGCAGCACAGGTATATTTTGCAGCATTGCACACATTCGTGATGTTTTGTGCTGCATGTGCTTTCTTAATCGTTATATTTATCAGTCACATATTAAAAAAAAAAAAAACCTGATCATGAGTTTTTGTGGCCAGATCACAATCTCAATTCCCCGAACACCTATCATGCAAATGTGGTTGACACCTGAGAGGTGTTCTCACAACAGATGGTGTTGTCTCTGGACATCTAAACATCAGACGCACATACTGATGGACACTCACCCACCAGATGCAAGCAGATTAAAGCCATAAATACAAAAAAGTGCGTAATTTATTTTCTTGGATAAGTGTTTGGCACTTAGAGCCAACATATTGCACGTTGGTCCTCTGGATTTTGATAACTGGCCAAAAACCGCTTCCCAAAAGCTGCTAGCAGAAGTGGAGGAGAGCAGACATCAGTCAATGTGGAGTGGAAGAGCTTCATTATCCATTCTGTGCGTGAGCTCCCTGCTCCAGTAAACCGACTCGTCTCTCATCCTCTCGCACGCTAAACGAGGAGGAATCAAATGATTCTGTTCACCCCAAAGACCCGAACTTCGTTTGAAACTCACTATGCAATTATTTATTTATCTATTGGCAGGTATATACTGCGCTCTTTGTAGCCGATCGACTGTTTGCGTTTGAACACTTGAGGAATTTCAGATTATACAGATTATAGCTCATTTTCATCTCAATTTAATTATTTTTATTGAAATTACAACATGCAGAGAAGCTTACTCGCTCTTTATTTCGCCCTCCCGTTTGAACTGATTGGGGTTATATTATAGAATCTAATTGAATTTGATTAAAGAACATTAACTCTGCTGAGTCAAATTTGAACTTCTTTGAATTAAACTGAAGCAAGTCACAACAATGAAAAGGAGGTGAAAAGAAATAAGGGACAGTTACATTTGTTCTGTGTATATACTGTCCCCTGTATGTGTCAACCATCATTTTATTAAAATGAGATTCGTATAAATAGCAGTGTATGGTGTGACCTCATTAGTAAAAGTGTTTACAATTACAGTATTTTTGTGTATTGTGTGTGTGTGTGTGTGTGTGTGTGTGTGTGTGTGTTGTCCAGCTTTACGGGACAAAGCACGTGAGCTGAACGCCACTCTGGGCTCGAGGGACGGGGCTCCTGAGAAGAGTGTGAACGAGATGAATGATGAAATCCAAGCTATGCTCGCAGAACTACGCAAACGCCAGCTCTCCGGCAAGAAAAACATCGCTGATGAAGAATTGGGGTAAAACACACACACAAACACACTGCATGAAGAGTTCAGATGAGGTGAGTTCAGATGAGGCAATAGGCTGCATTAGTGCTGCCCACTAATTGTTTTCCTTCATTTTAGTCTTTTTTAAAGAGTTGTAAGCCATGAACCAAACCAACCAGCTACGAGGAGAATAACAGCATTACAAATTTTAATTTGAATCAAAAAGGATTTGAAAATCGGACAAAAAGACAAAGATGCAAGACTGTGTACTTAACAGCTTTAGTGAGGGAAAGAACTACAATCCCATGAATCATTGCAAATTATATAATTGTCTTAAAAACAATGGAGAAATTTATATATATATATATATATATATTCCTTCCAGACCTAAGGGGGCATCATGTGCTTGTCCGCACAGACAACACATCGGTGGTCTCCTACATCAATCTGCAGGGGGGTCTGTGTTCGCGCCCCTTGTTCAAGCTGGCGCACCAGATCCTTCTATGGGCTCAGGGGAAGCTCCTCTCGCTAAGAGCAGTCTACATCCCTGGGTATCTAAATCAGGGGGCAGATATCCTGTCGAGACAGGGGCTGAGGCCCGGGGGATGGAGACTCCACCACCTCGGGGCTCCTCTGGAGGGAATTTGGCCAGGTGGAAGTAGATCTATTTGCGTCGCAGGAAAGGACACACTGCCTGCTCTGGTTCTCCCTCACGCATCCAGCTCCACTGGGGCTGGATGCCATGGTACAGACATGGCCGAGGCTTTGTCTGTATGCTTTTCCCCCGATCGCTCTGCTCCCAGGAGTTCTGGAGAGAGTACACCGGGATGGGGTCCTTCTGTTGCTAGTAGCCCCGTTCTGGCCAGCCCGAGTATGGTTCTCGGGCCTGGTGTCCCTCCTCGACGGCTCTCCGCTGGGGATTCCGATCAGGAGGGTCCTCCTCTCTCAGGAGTTATGGAAGTTGTGGACGTGGCCCCTGAGGGGGCACAGTTCCTAGCATCTGGTCTCTCAACTGAGGTTGTTGAGATTATACTCCAGCTGAAGGGGAACGTCTCTAGGTTACGTATGTAACCATGGTTCCCCGAGGGAATGAGACGCTGCGTCTCTTTGCCATACTCCCTGCATCCCTCCAGGCGCTACTTCATCGAAGCTAACTTGCGCTCTGCCGGATGCGCTTTTATACTTCCTGGCGCTCACGTCACCCCACTCGTGACGTCTCGCTGCTCCATTGGACTGATTTTACACGTGCTTCAGAACGCGGTCATACATGTGTCTCGACGCAGCGTCTCGTTCCCTCGGGGAACCATGGTTACATACGTAACCTAGGGATGTTTTTCACCATAAATTCAGCTGTTAAATATTCTTTTTTTTTTTTTTCTTTAAATAAGTTGAAATAATGCGGGCAACACAAGCATATTCCATCAATTAGGTTTATAACAAGGTTTATAAGTTATCATTAAAAATCAATTTCCCTATGGAGAAAATGAATGGAGTTTGGAGAATGGCTGTGCTTAAAATGTGGGACACTGGAAAATACTAAGCTGTCATAACAGACAGTGATGGGATTTATTGCAAGGTGTTATAATGCAGCATACTGTTCATATGTAAAGGTCATATGAATATTACTCAGTTCGAGTACCACAACAAACCTCTTACACACAGAGCACATAAAGTGAAGTAGCAGTGAGGATGCCTTTCAAGCTCACAGGTTGGAATAATTGTTTTGGCGGCATTATGTTTCTCAGCCGTATTTTGTGGTTCATTGGATCACAGCTCAAATGAAGAAAGTTTCTCTTTCTTATGTAAAATCTTAATGAACTAATTAAAAGTTGCATGAGGTTGGGCGGGGGAGGAATATTTTTACAGCCTAATCAAATTACTTCAGTAATGGATTCCTGTGTGTGTACGGCCATGAGAGAACAGAGAGAGAGAGACACCTAGAGGAGGACAGAGGGAATGAGTCAGTGCTCGAGTAAAGCTGGAGCACACAGAACCCGTTTAAGAGGTTTTCAGGTGGATTCAGTTTGAGCGCAGCGCTGAAGCATGTAGATATTTGTTGTTTTGATGTCTCCTGTCTCCTCAAAGATGTCCTGTCTCCTAATAAAAGACAAAAGTTGTCCTACAAAATACAGTTTTCAGCTTCAGCTTTGATCGTGACATCTTTATTCAGGGTTGTAGGATTTTATTGAAGGAATAGTTTGTGCAAAAACAAAAACGTCTCTTAGTTTTTTTTTATGCTCACCAAGGCTGCATTTATTTGATCAAAAATACAGTAAAAATTGCAATATTGTAAAATATTATTACAATTATGGATAACAGTTTTCTATGTGAATATCTGTTAAACTGTAATTTATTCCTGTGATTTAAAGCTGAATTTTGAGCATCATTCCTCCAGTTTTCAGTGTCACGTGATCCCTCAGAAATCATTCTAATATGCTGATTTGCTGCTCAATTATTATTAGTGCTCAGTTATTAATAATGGTTCTTATTATTAAATGTTAAAAACAGTTTTTGTGGTAACATTTTTTTTCAGGATTCTTTTATGAATAGAAAGTTCAAAAGAACAGCATTTATTTAATAGAGTCTTTTTTTAACATTGTAAATGATTTACGGTCACTTTTGATCAATTTAATGCATCCTTGCTGAATAAATGTCTCTTAAAGGGTTTTCTTGTGTCATGAGTCACAGATAAGGAGCTCTCACTCTCTCGCTCTCTTCATCTTTATAGTGCCGCAGAGGCTCTTTTGGCTAGAGTGAAGCGTTTGTTTGGAGATCCACACCAGGCCACAGAGGACCTGAAGAAGGAGGTCAGTGATAAAATGGGCGATTACAGGCAGAAACTGGACGAAGCTCAGGATCTGCTGAGGGACGCACACAACAAAACCAAGCAGGCCGAAGGACTGGCTGATAACAACCAACTGAACCTTGACCGTCTGCAGGTGCACACTTACACAAACACACAGACTTATGACACGCTCCGTATGGTATCTAAAGCGTTTTGTTATGTTTGAGCAGGGAAAGAGGGATGCGGCCGGTAAACAGAAAAAGGAAATGGAGGGAATTTTGGCGGAAGGAGAGAAGATGCTGGATGAAGCTAACGCTCTCTCAGACAGCATCAACCAGGGCAAAGAGGTCAGTTTCACACTGCACACATGAAATGTTACTAAACAATAACCACTGGTCAGAGCCGTGGCTTACTGACTGGCGTCTGCAGGAGCTGGAGGAGATGGCCAGAGAGTTGGGTCCCCTGCACGATAAGTTGGATTTTAAGGTGGCACGTTTAGGTCGGGGTCTGGACGACTCCATCCCTGATCTGTTGCTGAGAGCGGAGGACCACTCCGGCCAGCTCAACGATTCTGCTGCCATACTCGACAGGTGTGTGTGTGTGTGTGTGTGTGTGTGTGTGTGTGTGTGTGTGTGTGGTGTGTGTGTCTGTGTGTCTGTGTGTCTGTGTTCACTGCCGTTTCCAGCTTAAATAAACACTAGAGGCAGTAAAACACCAACAACTGTTATTCCTTTTCAAATAAATTATGATTACAAGGGCAGATTATCGATTAATATAGACTTATTTTTGCATGGTTTCTTGCACAATACTATGTTGTGAGATCAAAACACTTTTACCATAGTGCATGAGTTGTAAAATGTAATACATTTTTACATTTGCATCACATAACCAGCTCCGTGTGTGGCTTTTTTGACACAGTAAACTTGCTTGGTAGCACACCTGGTGCAGCATTGCACTTGTGATGTGAAGCACTCAGATATCTGTGAAAAGTCCTGTGAAACACAGGTCACAATTAAAGAGCTCAGAAACTTGCAGAAACCAGATGAAATGGCACGTTTGCTTCAGCAAATGCATTTTATCTCACATGTGTTTTTGTTAGCACTATAGGTTAGGGTCAGTGTAGGGTTTAGTGTAGGTGCTACTTTATTTATACGTACAACAAGCAACGAAATAAAACGCTGCCAGATTCACATTCACCTGTTTTGGATAGAATGTGCTTTTAGTGCCACTCACTGTACATTTCATTTAAAAAGTGTCACGAAATGTGCAGAAGCAATGCTCAAAGCAATGTAATATCAGTTTGTGGAAATGTGACCACAGGCGTGTTTTTCCAGTGAGCCTGGGTTGGTTTATTTTGTCTTCTTTCACTCATCTGACTGTGTGTGTGTGTGTGTGTGTGTGTGTGGTCTCTGTAGTATTCTAGCTGAGGCAAAGAACCTGTCCTTCAACGCCACCGCTGCTTTCAAGGCTTACACCAACATCAAGAACTACATCAATGAGGCTGATAAGGTGGCCAAAGAGGCAAAGAAAGCCAGCATTGATGCTCTACAGCTGGTGAGGAAACACACACACACACACAGAATCATCACTGTCTCCTGTCTGCATCAGTGACTGTTGTGAAATGCTCCACATGGGCAGCAGCTTAGTTCACATTCGGTAGATTTTTTTATTAATTTTTTTATTTTTTACTTACAGTACACGTCTTTTCAGATCATGTCTTTTTGTGTCAGAGCAGAAAAGTCAACATTTTTGAAGACAACATTTTTGCTCATTTTTTCAATACTGCAACAGGTCATATCCCAGCCAATGGCAAACAGGGAAATGCAGGGAACTAAAAATTATTTTTGTATTTTTGTACATTTTTTGAAGTCTTGTGGTGCTAAAGGCACTTTAAAATTGACATTTTGGGACTGTCTTCAAAGTCAAAGTTACAGTATATTTTATTGACCCCAAGGGGACATTTGCTGTTGCTACATAGAACAGTGACTCCAGTTTGAAGGGAGTGTATGTTCATTCAAAGGGCATTAAAGTGTGTGAGACGTGAATTTCAGCTGTATTTATTTACAGAGGTATATTATGTCACACTTCACACTTCTCTAGTAAGTTTCATCTGTGTGTGAAGACGCTGCAGGCCGTGGCGTAGCGCAAATCCGTGAATGAATGTTCTGAAGTGAAGTAAAGTTCAACACATTTCCACGTGCTCAGGAGTAGGGGGCAACGAACACTGTGTAGGGATCATGTCAGTGGGAACACAGTTCATGCGTGGAGCTCTCTTCTAACGAGCTGATGATCGGAATCAGTGTTAAATAAGAGACACATGCAAAATATGCAGAGCTGGGGGTCGCCAGGACTGGAATTGAGAACCGCTGACATATAACATAAACAATATATATATATATATATATACAGTATATATTTATATATATATATTCTTGTTGAATTACTATGACAATTCATCCAGGATACCTGTGTGGTTGTCAGGAGCTTGTCTGTAATGTCTAGAAATGCTGTGCTTCACTCCACACCTCAGGCAGGTCGTGTTAAAGCTGTTCAATTCATTTCCATTTGTCCTGCTTCAGAGATCAAAGCTTTCCTCCTGTTCTCTGGTTATCATCCCTCGCTCCTGTCGTTCACCCTCTTTCATCATCCTCTCACATCTAACGCAGAAATAGTGGGGCGTAAGGTTAAAATTGAACAAGGGTGCTTCACGCAACAGTGTCAAAGCTGACAATATGCAACAATACTAAAAATGAGCTTTCAATCCTCTAACCCTCTCTCAGCGTGAAAATGCATGACAAGAACACACTGATCGTGTCACGTTCAACAACATTTCTGATTTCTGTGTTCTGTTTCATATAGAATATAATTTTTGTTTAGCGCCACACAAGCAGGGCCATTGTTTTTGTGACTATTACTTGAAGATAATCAGAAATGCTTCTTCAGCAGCAAATCAGCATTTTAGAATGATTTCTGAAGGATCATTGAAGACTGGACAGATAGTGTACTACAGGTTAATTCCCATGAAGTGTGGCACATATACACATTTAAAAATGACAGTCCTTTATGTTATATTGTATTGCATTGAGTTTTTTCCCCAATAAAACACAAATCTCCAAAACATGTCCCTCCCTCTAGCAGGTTCTGTAGTGTCTGAGGCATGAGTGGCATCCGCTCTAATGTGTGTGTAATGTCCTGTCTGTAGGCCTCAGGACCCAAAGGATCTCTGAAAGACCAGGCCAAGGGTTCGGTTCAGAAGAGCCACCGCCTGTGGAACGAGGCCAAAGAACTGCAGAATGACGTGAAAGGTGAAAAACCCCATTAGATTACCGTCCTCACAAATCTTCCCGAGAAAAACCTTCTTTTTTTCCAATGTTTTTTTTTTTTTTTTTCAGAAAATGGAGAGAATCTGGGTGCTCTTCAGTTCAGACTGAAAGGAGCCAACAAAAAGAACAAAGACTTACAGAAAGGCCTGAACGACACAATGGAGAAACTCAACGCCATCCCTGATGGTGTGTGTGTGTGTGTGTGTGTGTGTGTGTGTGTGTGTGTGTGTGTGTGTGTGTGTCTGTGTCTGTGTCTGTGTCTGTGTGTAACCTAAAGCATCCGTCTCACTGCTTCACACAACAGGTTTCAGACAGTTATCTAGAACCTCACAATGGCACTTCTAAGGATTTAAAACAATTTTAAGCATCAACCTCCACATCTGACACACAGAATTGTGGGTTATCATCATAGACTGTAAAGTGCAACTCTGTGCTGCTCTAAAAAAAAAAAAATCCCAGATGAAGGCATCTTAGTAGACAGGGTAATAGGGAAGCATTGGATTTGGATGTGTCTTGTTGCCTTCATACCTCCATATTCTGCCTGAGAAAACCGAGACGGTAAAATATCAAGTGAGTGTTGTTAACTGAAACTAAAACTATTAAAAAACATTTTCAGTAACTGAAAGCTTGAAATAAAATAAATGTCAGATTAAATTTTTTAACTTTAAGTTGAAGTTCCAGAATTACTAAGAATAAACTAAATAGAAATTAAAATTAAAATTAAAAAGCTATATATCACACAATGATAATTCAAAGTGCTTTATATATAAAAGGTTTTTAAAATAATTATAAAATGATCAAAATAGTAAGAAATAAGATTAACAATAAAAAAGTTAAAAAATTCAGAATAAAGATTCTCGTAAAAATGATTCAAGTATATTTTCAAGAAGCGTGATCTAGAAAGGTGATAAATTTGTCACAGATAATTGTTTTAAAATGGAAATTTTATAATTATGAGTGAGTCTTAAATAGCATGTTTCCTTTTAATGGGAAAAAAATATATATATATTTTTTTTTTTCAGAAAACTGAAACCTAGTTTGAGGACCATTAGGATTTTTTTTTTAGGATTGTGAAATAGATTTTATGACAATTAAACAAAGTTCTCCACCAGTTTCTTTACTGAAAATATAATAATAACCATAGCAATAACTGATTAATATAATTAAACAGCAAAGTATTATTATTATTTTTTATTTTATTTTTTTATTTTGGTAGTATTTGTTATGGAAGCCCATTTCCGCCACTGAATAAAAAATAAAAAAAGGTTATTGCAACTTTTTATCTCACAATTCTGACTTTATTTCTCAGAATCGCGACTTTTTTTCTCGCAATTGCGAGTTTATATCACGCAATTATGAGAAAAAAAAGTCAGAATTGTGAGATAAAAAGTTGCAATAACCTTTTTTTTTTTATTTTTTATTCAGTGGTGGAAACGGGCTTCCATAATTCATAGTGCTGATGTAAATGAATGCTGATTCAGTCTACTGAGAATCATTGAGAAGAAATAAATAATAAATGTAATGAAAACTCAACATTAAAATGTCTGGATGCCTGAATTTGGAGGGAAATGTGCTTAATTGTCATGAAAATAAAGTCAGAATAAATAAATAGTTCTTAATTAAACAGGTTAATTTATCTTTATCTTTCTTTTTTTTCTTTGATTATGGAGTAAAATATGAGCTGGGTGTATTCTTCATACGAATGTTGTTATTGAGCTTTGTGAGCATGATGTTTGAGACGTCCAGCTAAGCCTATGGTATTTTCTCGTTGTGTGGATGACGGTAGATCTGGCAGCGAAGATCCAGGCCACTAAGCTGAAGGCAGCGGAGGCCAACGACACGGCCATAGACGTGCTCCACCGTCTGAAGGACATGAACCTCAACCTGATGGGTCTGAAGAGGAACCACAGCAAACTGGAGGACGACGTCAAGACAGCCAACAACCTGATCAAAGACCCGGAGAAAAACAGTACGACTTCCATCCAACTCCAGCAACAATCCTTCTTTATAGAGACAACAGCTGCATGGATCGTGAAGATTTGATTTCTTAATTGAAATGTTTGTGTTACAAGATCACTTAAATGCTTATTTGGTATTTTTCCCCCCCATTTGATTTTGAACGTCGACAGCAATAAGTATGTATACACGATTTTCTTCTTTCATCTGTGCGAATGAGTTTAAGAGCTCTCTCCGCTCCCCGAGGCTTCAGCATGGTGCTTTTATCCGGAGCGCTGCATGTACAGAGAGAGTGTTTTCTCCGTTCTTTGTTTCAACCCAACAGGATTAAACGCAGCCTTTGAAAGCTTCACTAAGCTTGTTATCCTAATGAGCGCTTTAGCTAATTACAGATCGTTTTTTGCTCTCATCTTCTCTTTTGAAATAACAGCTCCATGTCTTTCGCTGCCTACGCTGCAAATGAGAGATATATAACATCACTTTTTTTTCCCATTTTCGCTTTTGTTTCTGAAGTCTTTCATAGTCTCCTGCGCTCTTTTGTTAGAGCCTTTCATTCTCCGCTCTCCGGCATGTTTCTAATGTGGTGTTTATTTTCTGCTGTCTCGCTCTCGTGTGTTAATGTTGGTGACGGCCGCTCCTCTGCGTGTGTGTCTGCAGTTCATGCGGCCGGAGCTAAAGTCAAGGATCTGGAGAACGAGGCCGATAGGTTGTTGGAGAAACTGAAGCCCATTCAGGAGCTCCAGGACAACCTGAAGAAAAACATCTCTCAGATCAAAGAGCTCATCAGCCAGGCTCGCAAACAGGCCAACTCTGTGAGTACTGCCCATCATACTCCAGGAGAACCCTTCATCTACATCTTACACTGTGGAAAATAGCCTGTGAAATCCTTTTATTTTTTTATTTATTTTTTTTAACCAAGTTCCATTTTTATTCTTATTTTTTATTCTGTTTTTCTGTTGTTGTTGTTTTTATTAATTTATGTTTCCTGGACGTTTTTAATGATTAAATGAAATTTCAGTAATCAAAGAGCGTGTTTAATTAATTGAAATCATGAAATGTAACTAAAAGTTTAACCAGAATTACATTTAAAGGGCGCCCTCATTTTTTTATCTAAGTATGTGTTTTCTGTTTGTTTGTTTATTTATATTTTTATCATTTTAATTAATTTAAAATAAAAAATAATTACATTTTTAATAAAATCAAAAAGCAAGCATAATCAATTTAATTCATCAAAACAACTTATTTTTATATATTTATTTATTTTTTCAGATATTTATTTATTTTTCCAGATATGTATTTTGTTTCCAGATATGTATTTATTTTCTTATTTATTTTAATTT